AGTCTTCTTTCTGATTAAATAAATAAAAATTGTGTAATTTTCTGGAAGTTTCTTGACTAGTGTTATGATGACGGTAATGCAGATTGTGTAAGAACCTAGACACTGAAAAAAAAGAGGTTAAAAGTGAGCATGCTGCTACGGGGTTAACTAATGTGGTTCAAATCACTACCATAAATGATGAAACCGCATGTCTTGTATGTTTACTTCAAGTCATCGGCTCAAACTACACTTAAAATAGCCCTTTAACCTCTAAGCGTTGTTCAGAGTCAGGTTACCGAGGTAACAAGCTTTGAGGGGGTGTGTTAGAGGGCTGGATTGCTGGGTTTAGATGTTTTGCCTCTTAAAGGCTGTAACTGCACAGCTAATCAGTTCAGGAAAAAACACAGTGCGACCATCAATCCAGCTTGCATGGCTGCCCAGGAGAAAAAAATGTTAATAAGATGCAACTGCCACCAGATGCCAGTCCTCCAAAAATCACACACAGAAATCTGAGATGGCATCCCTGGACTAAGTTTTCCTTAAAAAAAAAAACAGGTGGCATGGAAGCCATTCTGCCTGACAGCATCAGTCCTTGAAAACTCACTGCAAACACAGACTGGAAGTATAATTGGTAGTGAATAGTGAATAGAGTCAAATGCAGGCCGCAGAGCATACAGAAGACTCATACACATACTCTGCACATATAGGCAGATGTAGATCTTTCAGACCTATAAATTGCTCCATGAGAGATGAATCACAGGCTGACGCTTGGCTCACGACATTACATACATATTGATTTTCAAATGATCTTCATGTTGGTGTAAAATTATGACACTATTCCTGTCAATGTGTGCTAGATTAGCCAATTCAAAAGTCACCCCAGTGTTTGCAGCAACCATCCAATACCTCCATGTATTTTTGACTCGACCACTACCCCCACCTTGTATGGCTGATCAATACTTTATTGGCTTTTTAAAATGAATCTAATTCATTAGTTAATTGAGCTAGCTGTGAAATGCAACAAACACATGGAATGGCTGGGGTGCCCCTCAGGAGAGGTTTGGGAACTGAAATGTACATCTAGTCATCCAACTAAATATCAGTACATTTTTGGAGAATGGAGGAAATTCTTAGATTTTCTTAGTTTTTGCTATTTTACTCAATTTTCTTAAGTTCTAATGTGGTTTTAAATTGTGGTTTTGTTCTGAGCACATATACCCTTACTGCTCAAATAAATCGATTTAAACATTTACTTTGACACTGTATAAACACTATATTGCCAAAAGCATTGGGACACCTGCCTTTACACGCACATGAATTTTAATGACATCCCATTCTTAATACATTGGTTTAAATATGGAGTTGGCTCACCATTTGCAGCTATAGCAGCTTCAACTCCTCTGGGAAGGCTGTCCACGAGGTTTAGGGGTGTGTTTATGGGAATTTTTGACCATTCTTCCAGGACAGCATTTGTGAGATCAGGCACTGATGTTGGATAAGGCCTGGCTCGCAGTCTTCGCTCCAGTTCATCCCAAAGGTGTTCTGTTGGGTTGAGATCAGGGCTCAGTGCAGGCCAGTCAAGTTCCTCCACACCAGACTCGCTCATCCATGTCCTTATGGACCTTGCTTTTGCTTTGTGCACTGGTGCGCAATCATGTTGGAACAGGAAGGGGCCATCCCCAAACTCTTCTCACAAAGTTGGGAGAATGAAATTGTCCAAATGGCTTCGAATGCTGCAGCATTAAGAGTTCCTTTCTCTGGAACTTAGGGGCCAAGCCCAACCTCTGAAAAACATCCCCACACCATAATCTCCCCTCCACAATGCAGTCAGGCAAATACCATTCTCCTGTCAACCATCAAACCCAGACTCGTCCATCAGATTGCCAGACAGAGAAGCGAAAGTTTGTAGAAGCAGTCTGCATGCCTAGGTGCTTGACTTTATACACCTGTGGCTATGGAAGTGATTGGAACACCTGAATTCAATGATTTAGAGGTGTGTCCTAATACGCCTGGCAATATTGTGTGTGCATGTGTGTGTGTGTGTGTATATGTATATATATATATATATATATATATATATATATATATATATATATATATACACACATACACACACACACACAAACACGCACTGCCTGGCCAAAAAAAAAGTCGGCATTTGAATTTTTTGTTGGGCCGCCTTCAGCTTTGATTATGGCGTATATTTGTCATGGCATTGTTTCCACAAGCTTATGCAACATCTCATCCTTTATTTTCATCCAGATTTGCATTAATTTCTCACCGAGATCCTGTATTGACAAGTGAGTTGAACCTCCATAAAGCCTCCTTCAGCACATCCCAGAGACCTTCAATGAGGTTAAGGTCACAACTCTGTGGTGACCAAGTCACACGTGAAAATGATTCCTCATGCTCCCTGAACCACTCTTTGACAATTTGAACCCATTGAATCTCAGCATTCCTATCCTGGAATATGCCCATGCCAACAGGGAAGAAAAAATCCATTTATGATGGATGGAGGTGTAACTGGCCATTCAGTAGATTCAGGTACTCAGCTGACTTTTCTTTATTGTTGCATAACGTTGCAGGACTGTAATAATGATCTAGTCATTGGCTTTTAAGTATTTGCTGATATAAATTCAAATGGTGACCTTCTTTTTTTGGCCGGGCAGTGTATGTATGTACACACACACACACACGGATGGATCCTTGTTATATTAAAAACTACCATTATAACCATATAGAAAAACTGTAAGATTCTGAAAAGTCTTTTATGGAATGTAATGGAAAAAATGTGAAATACTGTCTTGCCCAGGAAGCTTTTCAAAAAGATTAGTAGAGACTGTGTAAAGGATGTTTTTTTAAAATATGAAATTATAAAGATATCAGACTCGAATACAAAGGGGCAACTCTTGTATTGTGCTTAAAGTTGAAGCAGGATGGGAGTGTCAACATTAAAAATATCTTCATATTTGGTGGTGATGTTTCATATTGTCCCTCAAGTGCAGAAAGCTATTTTAACCTCAGTCTGTGTGGAATGACTCAGGCCTGTATAGAGCTCAACTATAGTATGTCAAACATTCCTCCATCCATCCATCTATCTATCTATCCACCCACCCATGAAACCCAGGAATATCAAATATTAAGGTGTGAAGGCTGCCTCTTTGAAAGTAGACATCGCATGTTCATAAGAGAAGCAAGATTCCAGAATCTCATTTCAGCAGAGCACCAGTGATTCTGTAGTAAAACAAACAAGAAATTCAACTACGCATCTTAAACATGTTTCTGCAGTCTGGTCAAGATCACAGTCAGTTATTATGCACTGGAAGGTACTAAAAATAAAATGTACAGGTCTCAGGAATATATTTTCTCCTTTTTATGCAGAATACTTCAGATTCACTGGTTCCTTGTGGGTAGCAGGTAACAGAACCCAGTTTGTTGAGTCAATTACATTCTATTATTCCCATAACGCAATACCCTGTTTTAAAATAAGTATACAATCCATTTCAGATGTATTGAGTACACACACTGTTTATCAAAAATGGCAGAAACTCCACTTTTAAATCTTTAATATCAGGCATCTTATGTTGATGTCATTGACAGATGTTTCCGTCTTAAAAATATCCAAAAAAAACCTCTATTTTCATCAATCTTGGAATCAATCAGAATTCATTAGTCCAAAGAATCTAGAATACTGAATCATCAAATTACCAAGTATACATGGAGGAAGTCCCTGAATTCAGATTAGACTGTGTATCCTTTGCTCACCTCTACAAGCACCAAGGGCCACTTGAATTTCACTTATCTTTAGTTTCTCAACCAGACAAGAACCAGGCCTAATGATATGTATCTGAAGGTGTTAGTCACCAGGGGCCTCATGTATAAATGGTGCATACATTATACATGAGGCCCCAGATCACCAGCAACGTGGGGAGGGGCCATAGCAGATCAGGGTGGAGTTTATGAGGTCACTTTGTCATTGTGACTCAGCAGGTGTGGTCACCGAAAGGAACTCAGCTTAATGAGTTATACAGCTGGACGTCTTACCTGCTGCAATTCAGGTTAAAATATCTAGCATGTAAGTACAGTAAGTCTCCAGAGGCTTCTGGCAAAAGTCCACTGATGTGCCTTGCCTTCTGTCCTCCCAGGAGAGAGATTTTCCGAAGGGATTATGACAGCCAGCAAAAGCACGCGCCTAAGAGACTGTCAGGAGACAAAGGCCGTCTTCCCCAGTGCAGGAATACTTTCATGTGGTCACACTTCCCATCCCAAGGCACTCCTGCTGCTTTTATCTGTGCGAGTCATGTTTTTTCCTCAAGGCCGGTTCTGAATAACAAGTGGAATGCTTTTGATTCGAAAACAGGTGAAGGGCTTTCATCTCTTCCACTTCTGCAGATGGGAGCACTGTTGGGTGTGTTATTTAGTCACAAAACTTAATTTAGGGAATCCTTCACTTTAACATTCTACAAAATAATCTAAGAGCCCTGATTCGTAAGACAACCTGTCCTGAATGTCATCATTTAGAGACGTTTTGCCTGAGTTACTCCAGTCAGCTTGAAATGTTTCAGAATTGGTTTGAGTTACTGTAATGGGAGAAATTTCTCTTTCTTGTTTTTATAGTTTACCTCATATGGGCCAGTTTTGGAACCACATACATTTTTAAAATAGAGGACAGATGGATGTGAACGTCTCCTGTATCACTGTCGAGTCACCGTTCATGAGGCACTCACTGGCATGGCCCCAGAACATCTCCGACCAACAGGAAGCGACAGGCATGATGTGGCAGAAGAGCATGAGACAGTCAGCAGAGACCGACGACCCATTTCCCTCCACACTGGGTCATTCCCAGTTTGATGCTAATCAATACCTAAAAAGATACAAACTTCCCCAATACGGTGTCGTCCATCTGCCTGAACTCTGTAAAATGTGCAGGAGATGTTCTGAGGATCAACTGCCCATGCAGCTGCACACCAATAAACATGCTTAGGAAGGTTAAAAAAGATAAGTAAGGATATAACAACTAAAAATGTCCAAAAAAAAACGTATTTATTCCTGTTTGGTAGCTTGGGTTAACACTATAAAACCTTCAAGTCTGCAGAGGTCACTGATTGCTTCTTGACCAAGAGTCCAACAATTCGTCCCTTATGAGATGCGAGGGCTTGGGGCAGGGGCATCACGGGACACTGTCGCATCCTTGGTGAGCCCCCTCACCCTTTCCCATGCCCAGCACGCTCTCCAGCCTCCGGGCACGGGTAGGAGGCAGGCAGTCGTACATCTGGAAGCCAAGCTCATCCTGCTGAGAGGGCAGTTTGAAGAGAAGCAGATGGTTCTTCAGAACCTGGAACAAGATGATTGTGGTTAGTGGCAGGCAGAAGGGGTTTTTGGAGGCTTCATACTGATTTTGGGGGGAGGACCCACCTCATCTGTCAGGTAATATGTCTTCCGTAGCAAACTCTGCCGTGCCGCCTCCACTTCCTGCGGGGGTGGGGGGAGAAAACATCTGACTTCCACGTTGTGGGGGCAGTGAAGTGCACGCAGGCAAGGGCTGGCCCTACAGCCAGTGCAATTCTACTCCTGACTGGGAGTGAAAATGCCCAGCAATACGTCACACATCCCCAAGACGGCAGCAGCTTCCAGATAACCTATTTAAAAGCCCTGTCATTTTAAGCCAGGCTGCTGGAGACCCAGCCTTGGACAGTACCTGTGACACCGGTTCCTGGGAGAAGATGAAGGAGTTAAGGTGGACCAGGGCCACCACGTAGAGTACGGGACACCAGGACCGCCGCAGGGCCCCCGTCACCAGGGAGCGGAAGTACAGCTGCAACAGGGGGAGGGAATCCTCTGGGGGGGAGGTGAATGCCTCCAGGGGGACCGGAAGCTTAGGGTGATGATGGCAGAGAGGAGAGAATTAGAAAGGATGTCACCTGTGGAGAGAACTCAGCATGCAAACCCATTACGGGGGAATTTATAATATCTACACGACACATAAGTCTCTCTCTAATACACGGCTTGCTTGGGGGTGACTGAGCAATCTATAATGACTCACAAAAATGGGTCTTGACACAAACCCAACTGTGGAGACTCTGGGCTACTGTAATACAGCTCTCAGTTCCTCACACTGTGATGCCATGATTTGAAATTTGACATTAATATTTAAAAGTACATAGGAATCAAATATAATTATGGCTAACATTTACTTCAGAAATGTTTATTATATGTCTTTTTTAGTGTTATATTTCTCACAAAAATAATTCGGAAAAACTAAAAATACTACAGCACTAGCTCTCCCTCCAGTGCTCATTTTTGTTCTGTTCACCACAGAGACACTAGAATTCAGACATCAGTCAGAAAGCCTATAATCATTTGACTGGGACACGTAGATGGCAGACTAGAACAAAATGTCCACTGGATGGGGATGGGGATGTGGGGGAGGGGGGGGGTTGGGGTCTAGGATAAAAGAATGACAGTAGAAGGACATCAGACACAAGGTGGAGGAGAATTACTCATATAGCCCATTAGATGAAAACACAACAGGGCATATTTGAGTGTCCGCTCCTCCCTTTCAGCTCACCTGCTGCAGCTGCACCCCTAGGGAACGCAGCAGCCCCACATGCTCCCCGAACACCGCCAGCCGCATGGTGGCGCTAAAGCGCCGCTGCAGGGGCAGTAGGATGAAGCAGCCGAACAGCGGGTCGCCGAAGGACACTGCCTCAAACTGGGAGAGCAACGCGGAGTACAGGTCATGGAAGGAGGCCAGGCCCGGCGGTGGCACTGCCAGATCCAACGCAGCAACCCGGCGCGGGTGGCAAAGGGTCCGCAGGAGTGCCCATGTCAGCCGCTGTACAGGGCGCTCAAGGAAGAGATCGCTGGAGCAGAGGAAGAGGCAGGAAAGGCGAGCCAGCTTAGCCGCTGGCAGGACCGCCGCCAGAGAGCTCTCCCGCCAGCTCTCCAGGAGCAGCAGCCACTGCAGGCAGTGCGTGACGGACTCCAGTGAGGCCGGTGGGAGGGACTCCACACGCACGTCTCCCCCGCCCGGCACACCCACACGCTCGTACAGGCTGACCAGCGGCAGGAACGGCCAGTCGGCGGGCAGAGCGGGCCCCGAGGCTTCGGAGAGGAAGCAGGAGTAAACGTAAGGGGTCCGGCCCAGGTGCAAGTCCCGGGAGCGGAGAACCGCTGGCTCCATGTAGGCCAGGTGGGTGAGGTAGCAGCCACGCAGGGAAGGGAGATGGGCACAAGCGTCCCGCAGCAGAGGGCCCAGTGGAGGCTGGGAGGGACAGCAGCCCTCCTTAAGCTGCAGGTCAGATAAATCTGCTGCTTCAGGTCCTCCACAGCGCCCTTCCCTGGCAAGACAGGAGACAGACACAGCAGTCACAGTTTTTTAGTGAATGAAACTGGAGCCTGTTTATCCTGGAAACAGAGCTGAGAGATGTCACATCAGAAAAGGGACAGACTTCACGATAAACTTCAAAAAGTATCAAACAGTGAATTACTGAGCACTGGGGTTTGTAAAAAGCCCAGGTGACAATACCACAGCAGCAGCAATATTAATTTCTAAAACAATCTACAGATTTTCAATGCATGGTTAGTGTCACTGTAAAACTTGGTAATATTTTATAAAAATTTAAATTTTGACCAGACTAATAATTTTAGTGGTTCCTCCACGAGGATCCCATTTAACATTTCTCTCATTACTGCTATAATTACACACTTGTGTGCCTAAAAAGGATGCTCCTAAAAAGTGCTGTTAAAATTAAAACAACACAGAGCTTTGGCGCCACCTTTAGATTACACAATAAAATTACAAAGACTGCATTGCACATTACTGCACACTTCAGAGGCACAGCTGACCTGGGAGGGGAGCAACAAGCTTACTTTATATGACTATCAGTTATTTGCCCATGAGTGGGGGGGACCCCACAGGGACCCCACCCCCCTGTGCATTTATTTCAAGTAACCACTTTACAGCTTAATTTTCCTTAACCCTGAAATTATGTTATACAAATGCCAAAGTGCATAAAGCAAACCAATCTTACGGCATAAAGTCCGAGTTAAAGATGATGGAGGAGAAGAGGTCGTGAGCCATGTGTTCGCTGCCAGGCAGCAGCCGGGGCAGCAGGGAGAGGGCAGCCTGGTGGTACAGGCTGGCCTGCTTGGCTACCTCCGGGCTGGCGGGCATCTGGGGAACACAGAGCACGCACTCCATTTAGAAAACCGTAATGTGAATCTCTGACAGCAGCTTCCTCTATACCATCTTACAAAAGCTACTACACACTTTAGGATAAAGAGACCTTTGATGTGGGGGCGGTGAGTGGTTCAGCAGGCTAAGCCTCTGTGCCCGTGATCAGAAAGTTGCTGGTTCGAGCCCGACCTTAGCAGAATAACCACGTTTGTGAGCCTTTGAGTAAAGGCCTTAACCCCCAGTTCCAGGGGTGGTGCACACTGGCTGACCCTGTGCTGTGACCCCCAAGCTGCTCTCACCTCAACTCATGAAGAACACGAGGGGGGAGGTGAAAAGAGAATTTAATAAAATCACTATTCTATTCTATAGATTAGAGATCTGAGGCAGGCTCACTGAGAATAACCAATGATTGGCCAGAGACCCGCAATGGGCTCGCTGGACCGAGTCAGTGCCGAGTCAGTGCCGTGCCCGTGTGCTGCCCGGGCAGGTAATCTGGACGTACCAGCCTGTGCGCCAGCTTCAGAAGCAGGTACAGCAGGTGGTGCTCATGGCGTAACAGCCAGGCGCTGGAGGGGGTCAGGGTGGGTGAGGCCTCGCAGCAGGCCCGCAGGTAGCCAGACATCAGGTCGGAGAGGAGCAAGCTGGAGAACTGGGTAGAGATCACAGGTAAAAGGATGTATACCAAGTTTCCAATGACAGAAACTCATCTTCTTCAGTATTTGGGACAAAATCAATTTAAACAAATCAAGCGTCATAGAATCTGTGTCAAGATGCTCTGCATCAGAAAACATTCAGCCACAAGGGGGCAGTAAAAGTGTATAAACAGGTTTATAACAGTGTTTTTCAAACCAGACTTTGGGGACCCCCCCCCCCCCCCCCCAAAAACGTGCACCTGCTGAGAGTCCCCAAGGACCAGGCTGAGAAACACTCTTCCAAATAGTTCAGGTAGATAATTGACAGACATACTTGATCAGAATATTGGAGACAACGCACACAGAGAACACGAAAACAATGCCTGGTTCAAGTTAAATGCTAAACCTCAACATCCAGACATATGACAGTAATCTGCTCTTCCAGTTTGAGAGCCATGTAAGTTTTTAACCTCCTAGCAGTGCCCTGGCTGAAGGCAAAACAGGGCTTCAGAAAGACATCCAAGACAAAGGCTAAACCTCTGCTAATATCTTCTAAAACCCTTTGCCTCGGCAGAGTGAAGCCTGGAGTCATTCGCTACAGGGAAGCTTACGGGGAATCCGGCATGTAAGAGGCCCAAGCGGACCACAGTGTCTGCTAACGCTTTGCTTCTTGCCTTCCTCTCTGACAGCATATCAACCAGGGTAACAGATGACAGAGTGTGGGAATTAGCCAGCGACGACTGCGCACATCACCGGACGCAGGCAGGCACCTGAGGATCACTCCTGCAGCAGAGTGAGCGCACATGTTCATTATTCAGCCCTGTTCTTTCATGCTGTGATCTGAATGCAAGATCAAACTCAACAGAGGGAAAATAAAATGCTTAAGAACAGGCTCCTTTTAACAAATTAAAATGCACTTTGGTATATCTCACACAGGACCCCGTTAACAGATAAATGAAAGTATGGGTGTCAGTGGAAGCCACACGCTCCCTGAAACCACCCCACCTACTGTAATTACTACATGCCTCCCTCTGGGATCTGCTTGTAAAACAGTCAGACAGAGAGGAGCACTAATTATCGATCCTAAATCTGCCTCTGTCTGTGGGGTGGGGGCAACACAGAACATCATTCCAGGTCATTTAGAAGGAAGCTGATGTCACAGTGAAAAAGGGCAATTTCTGAACTTCAGACATTTTGATGGGACGACCAGTGTGTCTCCAAGATGTAAATATACACTACAGTCCTACCTATGAAATCTCATGTGTTCCCTGGAGGAATATTCAAACATAAATCCTGCATTCCTTCAAAAGGAACGACATGTATCTCTGTTCTGTAACTCCCCTGCCATGCACCTTCTACAGTAACCTTCTCGATGTGGGAAGGAAAAAACACAAAAGAGAAAGGTCTCTGTTGTGCACATGTTCTGGCAAAAGAACATCCTGTTTCAGAACAGCACACAAGTACCAGATGACATGATATGCAGAAGTAACTGAAGCAGTGACAGGGCCTGGAATATGCACTGTGATAAAACAGGCCTTGAACGGTTATTTGTAAGGCTTCACCTTGTGGACGATCCCCTTGTGTATTCTGGTGACAGCTTCCAGCAGATAACAAAGGGCGGTGAAGAAGGGAAGCGGAGAGCTGGAACTGGCCAGGCTGAGAGCAGGCCTTCCTCCAGAAGACCCGAACCTGGGCAGGCTGGCCACTGCCTCTGTGCTCGGGCAACAGGACAGTGGGTTACACAGAGCTGAGCAGGACCTGTAGGGACAAAATGCACTTCTGTCATTACAGAGCTCCTCAAAGAATACACCAGTACTGCTGAAGAGATCAGCGACAGAGAGGAGCGCCAGCAAAGGAGAGATCAGCGACACAGAGAGGAGGGCTGGCGAGGGGGAGATCAGCGCGACAGAGAGGAGGGCTGGCGAGGGGGAGATCAGCGCGACAGAGAGGAGGGCTGGCGAGGGGGAGATCAGTGACAGAGAGGATGCCTGGCGAGGAAGGGGGAGATTAGTGACACAGAAAGGAGTGCTGGCAAAGAAAGGGGAAATCAGCGACACAGAAAGGATTACCAGCAAGGGGAAGATCAGCAACGCTGATGGAGAACTGCATAGGTACATAACAGAAATTTATATGTAGCTGAACTAAGCTCATCAGACATACAGTTTATGTGTACAAAAACATCCATGCATAAACTGCTAATAAAACTCATCAGAATGACCAAAATGTTACAAGGTATTAATGGGTCAAACCCCATGTAATTAAGGGTATGCTGAAAGTGCTGAAGCAGCGTGAGAAAACCCGGAAGCAGTCTGACCGGAGCCTATCGATCAAGCCGCGCACAGCCTGATGGGAGAGCAGCGGGAGCAGGACATCCGAGGCGAGTGCCTCCAGCTCCTGCAGACACTCCACGGGCCGGAAGGAGTTCTGCGGAGACAGAAGGGGTGGGGGGCTGCATCAGACTCTGGGGCAAGTTCTCATGAAAGCACGTCACACAGAACCAATCTGACTTCAGTAAATAATACCCCTTCAGAATGAATAAAAACGGAATTTTATTTATGCCGTTTTTATTTATTTTATTTAATCTACCAACTGCTTATCCTGGTCAGAACTAAATTTTATATTATAAACAAATATGTTAAATTTGAATTTAGTGATTAATTGTCACTGTTGACACATCACAGCACACAGTGCACAACAACGAAATGTGTCCTCTGCATTTAACCCATATGTGACAATGTGACATAGCAGGGGGCTGCTCATTCAGCTCCCGGGGAGCAGTGCTTAGGGGCGGTACCTTGCTCAGGGTACCTCAGTGGTGCCTTGCTGGTCGGGGATTCGAACCTATCTTTCAATTACGAGTGCGCTTCCCAAGCCATTAAGCCACCACTGCCCACAACCCGAGTTTGGTAATTCACAACCAAATTGGCTGTCTGACCCTTCTCTGTGTTTGGCGCATGTTTCACCATGCAGATTGTAACAGCTCCATACTTATATAACAGATGCACACCGATGACAGAATCAAGCCCTCAGTACTTCGCTGGTACTCTGACACTCCCAACTGACCTGAAGGTGAAGCTGGGAGTAATAGGTCCCCAGGTACAGGAGAAGAGACGCCAACAAGCTCACTGAGCTCTCCCTCTGACTGGGGTCTCCTAATGTCTTTATGCAGCCTTTCAATGAGGCCAAGAGGGGGCGCTGCAGGCCAGTCACATGACTCCAGTCCACAACGGGAGGGGGAGGGCACTCGGACTCTTCTGAGCTACAGTGGAGAGACAGGATGAGCATAAATGGGTACGGTGATCCTGCACTGCAGACAGATCAGAAGTACGTGGACACCATGCAGTCACAGCAGGCCCAAGGCATGGAAACCTGGTGCAGAGGATGCTGGGAGGCCGCTTTACGGTGCCCAGTCAAAAAGCGATGACTGATATAAATGACTTCTCAGTGGATTCTTCGCTGGGGCCCATTGATTAAACTAGGCAGAGACTGGATTCACATAATAAAGCCACCAGCTGGGGGCTTCAAAGATTAATTCTCCCAATAGTTGAAGGTCAAACAATAAGTGCATAATCCCAATACACATATTACTGGGGGCACAGTGACTATAAATGACTTATACAGTTGAATCTTCTGCATCGCAACTTTCCCCATCGCAATTTCAATATACAGACACTCCCCGGGTTATGATGGGCAAAAATGCATTTTACTACAGTACACCTAACAACAAACATCATAACCTAGCCTAGCCTACCTTAAACATGCTTAGAACACTTACATTAGCCTACGGTTGGGTAAAATCATTATCACGAAGCCTATTTTATAATAAAGTGTTTAATATCTCAAGTAATTAATAGAATATGGTGCTGAAAATATAGAAAAAAAACTGTATGGCATCGGAATACCCACTGTAAAGTCAAAATATTGTAACGCGGACCATCGTAACGCGGGGAGTGTCTGTATTAAGTTTTGCAAAAGCCACAGACCCATGAAGAGTGCAGACACAAACAGCTTAGTAACTCATAAATGCATGAATTATACATACAGTGCTGGCCTGGAGGAAGCCAAGCATGTTTACGGCAGTATTTCACGTGATATCTCGCAGTGATCTCAATATCTCGCGTTTCTCATATCGTTTTGTGCCATTTCAGGGCCCTAAACTAACACTTCACTCAAAAAAAATGTAGGCAGTTTTTCCTGCCTAGGGGAAGGATCCACTGTATATTGCGTTTATGTGATCACAGGAAATCCCTAGACAGCAGAGACGGCCCCACCTGGCCAGGGCAGCCTGCAGCTCCTGATGGCAGCCGGCTGTGTGGGTCACATGGGTCAGCAGTGTTACCAGAGCCTGCGCCCGCTGCAGCTCCAGGGGCCAGAGAGGGTCCGTCGGGGGCCACGCTCTGGGGACTGACTGCAGGGCCTTCACCAGGATGGGATAGAGGTCTCTGACAGGGACGGAACACATGATCACATGGCTGCGAGCTGCCTGGGTGTGACAGGGACGGAACACATGATCACATGGCTGCGAGCTGCCTGTGTGTGACAGGGACGGAACACATGATCACATGGCTGCGAGCTGCCTGTGTGTGACAGGGACGGAACACATGATCACATGGCTGCGAGCTGCCTGTGTGTGACAGGGACGGAACACATGATCACATGGCTGCGAGCTGCCTGTGTGTGACAGGGACGGAACACATGATCACATGGCTGCGAGCTGCCTGTGTGTGACTTGGGAGCAGCTTTAAAGTAGGTCGTAATTTCTAAATTCGGGAAACTGTGGGCGGACCCTGAGCTCAATCCCCACCTTTCCTCCCTAAGAGTCTAAATGTACTTCAACCAAGCTGTTCTAACCTGCCAAGGTTACAGCTCACTGTAACAATGCCATGCATTCTCCATAACTTATTGTACCTGGAAAGTGAATTTCTTTTAAAATTACTACTACTAATTTGTTCGGTTTCATTTAAGCCCCCGAAATGAGGTCACCGTACACCATGAAGATGGATAAGAAACGATTGCCCATAATTCAGTGATCTATAAGTGCGCTAAGACCCCAGCCCGCCCAGGGTCACCTGTACAGGTCGCAGGCCTGTCCATAGCCAGTGGCCACGGCCCACAGCCTCAGTGCCTCCGTGGCAATCCGCAGGGCTTCTCCCGGCGCCAGCGGCAGTTCGCAGGGCTCCACAGCCACAAAACGGGACAGGCGCTCCCGTCCGCCCAGGTTGTTCAGCTGAAGTGAGCCAGATAATGGTCGTAATCGACGTTAGTATGCCAGGAGAGGGGGCGGAGTCACTTGAACGACCTCACTTAACCCTCAGCGGACATTAGCGAGGCAGCGCTTTGGTGGCGCGGGATATCGGACTAATTTAAAGTTCATTACCATGCTTTGACTTCATTAGACAGCAGAGAAATTAGGCATTAATTAACACCGGCATCAGCTAAAGGCCTTTTCAATATCCAAACCACAACAGCTCAGGTCACTGTGGAAAACACACTGCGGTATAATTACACCCCGATTGCAGGGAGCCATTTTGTAATTAAGGTTTTACTTGAGCCCTCAGACGCTCACCAGCCGGGCACAGGCGTGTCTCCCAGCGCCGGCCAGCACGCGCAGGAGCTTCATGGCCGCCGGGACAGGCAGTCCGTGCAGGCAGGTAGGGGGGTCATGTGGGGTCCAGGAGCAGGGCAGGAAGTGTGACATCACCGTCTCCATCAGGCGAGGACACTCCAGCACCTGCACACACACCAGCAGGGACGGCAGACTGTGGGCATCCCTAAATTTAAACGTTAAAACTCACAGGCAAATCACAAATCACAGGAGGCGTTAATTTAATTACCGGCTTTATTTTTAGCCTAGTTTTCCACCCAGGTTTGATTTTTACAAGACCCCACACCCACAAGGACACCTCCAATAAAAAAAATAAAAAGCTTTGCATCCCACCTCCTCATCCTCTGACAGTTAATGGTGACCACCCTCAATTAACATTTTGTTTTCATTTGTTTGTTTATTACCGTTGCTGGTACTGCTATTATTACCGTTACTAATATTATTACTCTTATTTTTACTCAGATTGTCAGTTATAAAAAATATGCATTTTATCTGCATTCCTTAAATGTTCTATACTGATGCTTTATGTATTGCAAAAGCAGCTTGTGAAAGAGAGTTCGATGTGGGGGAGGGTTTTTTTGGTCTATACTGTGCAGCAGTTTGAAATACAAACAAAACATCTATATCCTTCATTTTTGCCAACCAGGCTGTGAACATTAAAGCACCCAGGGTCAATCAGCAACAAGGACCTCGGTATAGCATCCTTTCGTTATATAATCGCAGGAGGGGAAAGTATCTGTTTGATATATAATGTTATACGCGATGGTGCAGAAAGTATACCTGGGTGGCGGAAGCAGGGGAGTGGCGGGCAATTCGGATGAGGATCTCCAGGACATGGAGGACTGTGCGAGGGGGCGGCCGCACCACCTCCAGGATGTACCGGAGCCTGGGCAACAGCTTCATCTTCAGCAGGCCCTGTGAGCGAGACGGACCCATCACAACACACTCAGGACACTGGCAATCATGTCACAGATTAATAATACATCTATAGCCATGAAACAGCAGGAGTGAGGGGACTGTTAGAGCCAGTAGAGAGCGGGGAGGGCCGGCGGAGAGCGGGGAGGGCCGGCGGAGAGCGGGAAGCGTCGGGAAGCAGGGCCGGCGGAGAGCGGGGAGGGCCGGCAGAGAGCGGGGAGGGCCAGGAAGCAGGGCCGGCGGAGAGCGGGGAGGGCCGGCGAGGGACGGGAAGCAGGGCCGGCGGAGAGCAGGGAGGGCTGGCGAGGGACGGGAAGCAGGGCCGGCGGAGAGCAGGGAGGGCCAGGAAGCAGGGCCGGCAGAGAGCGGGGAGGGCCGGCAGAGAGCGGGGAGGGCCGGGAAGCAGGGCCGGCGGAGAGCGGGGAGGGCCGGCGGAGAGCGGGGAGGGCCGGGAAGCAGGGCCGGCGGAGAGCGGGGAGGGCCGGCGGAGAGCGGGGAGGGCCGGCGGAGAGCGGGTAGGGCCGGGAAGCAGGGCCGGCAGAGAGCGGGGAGGGCCGGCGGAGAGCGGGGAGGGCCGGCGGAGTGCGGGGAGGAGCGGGAGGCAAAGCAAGCAAGTCCGGCCACCTTCACAATGTCGGCCTGTGCCACGTCGTGGTCGGGCTTCTCCTCCTCCTTCTTTTTAGCCGTCTCCTTTGGGGTGTCCTCCAAGTCCACATCTTCCTCATCTTCCTCTTCCTGGGAAAAGGGCAGCAGCGGAAACGCAGACATTCCGAGGTACCATGAGAACGTGCTGTCAAGAGACTCCTAAGCAAGACAAAAAGAGGGGGAAAAATAGCTAAACCGTACCTATAGCCATCAAAAGCATCTGGCAACACAGCCTTACAGAAATATACACAAAATACATCATCTTATATTATGAAAACACATTTGGAATAATCTGTAATGCTTATATTACTCATCCATCTTCCAACTGCTTACCCACACAAGGGGTGGGGTGGGGGGGGGTTAGGTGGGGAAGGGCTTAAGGCACAAGGTGGGAGGTACCCTGGGAAATCAATCACGCTGCACCTAACTCATTGGAGGGCAGGACAGGGAACCGCAGAGAACACTGGAAGAATAAACCCCACTCACACAGAACGAGCGAGGAACCCAAACCTACATGTACAATCAAGGGCACAGATTGCGGTATGGACAATAGGGACGTCACCAATACTGAGGGAGTACCGTGTGTGTTTAGGGGGTGGGGGGTTCAGGGCTGATTTGGTCCCTACCAATGCTAAAACCAAACCAATGCCCTTGTGTATAATGTACAGTATGTACTATAGTTCTGCCTATTCAAGCCAACAGTAATGTCCTACATCTGAGCCATTTATATCGGCTCCATGTTGCTCCAGCTCCTGCAAAACTTTCTGATCTGAAGGCTTCATCCATCTTCAGTCAGCCGGTGGTGAACTGCCCTCGCTGAGCTCCTCAGAGCCAACATCAGCTATGACACATGCAGGTAAAATCTGCTTAACACAGCAGCCTCCGCTGTCAGAGATAACAGGCGGCAGGGCAGGGAACCAGTGGGAAGCTCATCTCGTACAGAGAAATGAGGATGAAAGACAGGATGGTGGAGAAGACCATCGATCCAGCCGAGCAATGAGACTCCCAAACTAAATGTAGACGTGTCAAACCTCGGGCCAAATCGAGACAAGGTGCAGACCAACTTCGTGCATACAGATGCCAAAATGAGAATGAAGACTTCCAGAGCAAGCAGGATATGGAACAGTGGTGCAGGAAAGGATCCTCATCCTGGTACAATCACTATGGACACTGATTACTGGTCTTGCACAAAAAACCACCTAAGTTAATGAAGGCAGGCTAGCCCTAATTGGACCAATTACTATAATAAGGATAAGTAGGACCAATCAAGGTTTGACAGAATGCTTTGGAAATTATGGAAACTCATTTATGGATTTGGTTCTGTTAATAATATTGGGCCTTTTCAATTACAAATGCTAGACTAAAAAGCTTTAACTGTGTTCTAATTAATTAAGCAACGAAACATAAAATGATATTTCATGGCACATGAGCTCAGAGAGTATGAATAAGAGCAGGCAGGTAAGCAGATAGAGAGGGGAAAACAGCATGGTCTCATACCACAGCCTTCGCCCCAGAAGGCTAAAGCTCAGCCAATTAATCATCAGCATCACCCCAGCACCCAATCACAAGCCGTAATTCTCATGGTTCCCCAACAACAATGGTGGGTGCATGCACTAATGAAACGCAACATCCTTAGGGAAACCAGTCACAACCGAAAAAGCACCAGGACTAGGACAGCTGTGTTTGACCTCAGCTTGATCTAAAAAGCATGAAAAAAACACCCTAGTTATATTTATCACTAAACAGTAATGACTAGGGACTGCAGGGCTTGCACTTAACCTTGATTCGTATACTGGTAATCAAATGTGCAAAGATTCTCTGAATTAATAACAGGGGTCACATCATTAGATTTAAAATTGCATCAATCCACCCATTTTTTCAATCAGGCATTATAATCTTGGAATATGTGAACGTCATAAGGGAGCAGTGTTTGCATCATCAGGTGCACCTGGTCCTGGAAAGTAGCCTCATATTTCATGGCTGTTAAGTGGCCATGAAGAACAATCATGGGAAACAATGACTCCCGCAAGATGGTACCATACCAACAGGTATTGTGGAGTAAGGGCTTCCTGTGACCTTCTCCAACAGTAAAGATATCCAATTGTAGGATAAAGGGGGAGAGATCTATCAGACCGCACTACGCATCAGACCACCAGACTCCATTCCATCCCTTAAGGATGCAGACGTTGTGCTTCTTGCATCAGGTGATGTACACTGACCTTGGATACAGGCAGGTTCCAAACAGGAGTCCTGCTATAAATTCCAGCTTTGTGAAACTCACAACATGCAGTTTTCATTAAAGGGGCCATATTATGCTCATTTTCAGTGTTCATAATTAATTTTTGGAGTCTACTAGAATAGATTTACATGCTTCAATCTGCCAAAAACATAACTTTTCTCATACTGTACATTACTATTCACTCCGTCTGAAATGCTGCCAGAGACCCACCCCCTAATGAGCCCAGTATGCTCTGATTGGTCAGTCTGTCCAACTGGTCAGCTTGCCCTACACATCCCGCCCCTGTCTGGCAGTCTGCAAACAGAGCAGTTTAGGCACTCTTTGGAACTCTGTTAGTTGCCTCACTCTGCTTTGAAAACTCATATTGTAACCATGGTTGTAGGATCATAATTGTGATTTAAGAACTATACAAACGAGAGGAGGCCATTCGGCCCATTGAACATAAGAACATAAGAACTATACAAACGAGAGGAGGCCATTCGGCCCATCGAGCTCGCATGGGGAGAACTTAACTAATAGCTCAGAGTTGTTAAAATCTTATCTAGCTCTGATTTAAAGGAACCCAAGGATTCAGCTTGCACTACGTTATCAGGAAGACTATTCCATACTCTGACTACACGCTGTGTAAAGAAGTGCTTCCTTAAATCCAGTTTGAAATGTTCTCCCGCTAATTTCCACCTATGGCCACGAGTTCTTGTATTTGAACTAATGTTGAAGTAACTATTCGGTTGAACAGCATCCAAACCTGTTAGAATATTATAGACCTGGATCATGTCCCCCCCTCAGTCTCCTTTGCTTGAGGCTGAACAGATTTAGCTCAAATAACCATTGAGCTCGCTTGGGTTGTAATTTAGTTACTTCAAAGTTAGGCCCTCTGTACATAGACCCTGAAGAAGTCAGACCTCAGTGGCACTGACCAAGCACACTGCCCATCGTAGCGATTCTGTGCAGGCAGCCCGCAGTGACTCTCGCCCCCAAGGCAGTGACCCTAATCACTGATACAGCTGTGGTTAAGCCACAGTTAAGGAGGTAGGAAGAGATGCTTTCACAACATCTAGAGATTATACTCTGATTGACTGTTGATCAGTCCTAACTAGGAAGCTAACTAGGGAAGGACTGGGTTACACAATTGAAAACACATATTAAAAATACATGATTAATTCCCTAGCCCCCATTATTAACAAGCAATGGTAATTACATGTCAACTCAATTACAAAACAAGAACAAACAGCTAATGTTAAAGGGTATGTTTTTTTGGTCTGCTGCTATTTTGGCTGAATGGCTGCCATAGTAACTACCTACTATATAATCACTGAATGAGAAATTTTGCAGGATACGTTGGCTGACCTCAAGGATTTACTCCAACACAAGCTGAGCTGTCAAAATGAGCTGACTCACCAGGTGGGTAGATCACACTCAGTGCACGTCTGCTGGGTTTTTAAGATGCTCCTACTCAAATCCCTCGTGACCCATTCAACTGAGGCTCATACTCACCAGCAGGCTTAACAGGATGCCCTCCCCCGCCATGGAGAACCTGCCAGAAAACGGCTCTCACCTCGTCTTCGGGGGACACCAGCAGGCTCCGGAGGGCGTGAACCGCCGCTGCCATGACTCCCTCCACACTGTCGTCCAGGGCAAACCGCAGCAGGAAAACCAGGCCCGCATCCAACAGTGTGGACAGCACACTGCCCCTTACGGAGCAGGCAAAGTCACCAGCACGAGCCTGCGATGGAAGGACACCAACAGCTGGCAGCTGCTCATTTATGCTAATTAACCAAATACCACCGCAAAATTGCCGAGCAGGTACCGCTTAACCATACTCCTTACATCAAGGCTGCCTGCTCATGTCTCTGCATGCAAATGACTGCTGTACTTCTGCAAGGTAGCCAACCTAAAACTCTACTTTAAAACAAAGCCCAAGCCTAAAAAAATAAGAGGTAACAAAAGGCAATAAAGCAGCTATTTGTTTATGGTTCTCTATGTATCTGGAGATCCTATCCCAGATTACACAGTAGTGGTAGAGGACACTCTGGGTGGGGTACCAGTCTGCCAGACAAGCATAATTCATTAACTTATCCATCTCCAACAGAGAACCAGCAGCAAATAACTGCTATTTTGATTTTACAAACAGGGAATGTGAAGGATTGTCTTTCGCAAATAATTCATCCCACTGGTTTATACAAGGAGCTGGTGAATTTATGGTGTAGTTGAGTGGGTCCTTGACAGAGCAGCAGAGCCTAGCATTGTGATGTGATTGGCGAATGAGAAGGGGGGGGGGGGGTTACCTTGGCAATGATGTGGGCAAGAGTGGTGAGCGCCAGGCTGCGCTGCTGGACCACCTGACTGCGACAGAGGAGGAAGAGCTCCTGCAGCGAGTAGCCGGCCAGCTGGCAAGAGAGAGGAGCATGAGCTGGACGATACGCCGACAGCCAACGCCCATGCAAACTCCATGCCTGCTTCTCAACTGACCTCCGGCTCGTCTCCATGGTGATGCAGACCGAGGTGTGTAGGCAGGTCTTCTGTCGGAGGGATCAGGGCCCCGTCGAAATCGAAGCGCGCCTGCATGGCCTGAGTGCACAGAGGGTCTCTGGTCACACTGTGGCTCCTCGCCAGGCCTTCCTACCCCAGCCGGCTAACCTCACCTTCCTGGTGCTCCGCTTCCTGGGCGCCGGCTGGTCCCTCATCCACTCCAGCTTTTCCGGCTCCAGTTTGTTCATGTGCAGCCACTCTTTCTTAGGCTGGAAGGGCAGGTCCTGCACTACAGGGGGACATGCGGAGGCGTTAGGCATCAGATATGTCTGCTCGCGATGTCCTTACAAATCTACAACACAGGCGGCCCCTAGTATCACACTTTTGCAGCAAAGTCAATGCAAGGACAATAACTGCTGGCCAGAGGATTAGAGCCAGCAACCTTTTAACCACAGGCACTTGGTCCTAACCTGCAGAGCCACGCATCTTTCGCTATACTGAAAACCAGAAAGAAAACTGAGCCCCTTTGGTACAGAACTGTATAAAACAAAGCCCCATGTCAATATCTACACTGTCCAATGTCCAATTTTAGCATCTATTTGCTATGACAGTACCAGTATCGAGAAAAAAAATATTACAGAGAAGCACGAGCTCACAGACTACTAAAAAAACATTAAAGTTTAGAATGTTTAAAGAGCTGTATCACTGTGCCCTAACAAACATAAAGAAAAACTGAAGGACTAATACAAAATAGTTAAAAAAAAAAGTTAATGAACTATCACTAGGGCTGGCAAACGTGATGATATTGTTTCTAAAGGTGTCAAAAATAGAAACTTAAAAATACATTACAAAAGCAACATTGCCCACTAATAAAACACCTGGGTTCCTCAATTATCCTATTAGGGCCAAATTCCATCATCATCAACACTAAGCCAAGGGCCACTGGCCTAAAATATGCCACCTGCGGGGTGGGGGCAGGGGGAAGTTTGCCAAGCGATCGGGGGAGGGTGCTGATGACGATAAAATTTGCTACTATACATATTTATATACTTCTTACATACATATATACTTAAGATTAAGGCTGAAGACGCTATTCAAATTCACAGATTCATCACATGCATACAATAAGCCTCTAAAGCCCTATTATTCAAATCACGGTCGTCGAGGTCCGAGCACTGCTGGTTTTCCAGTCTTCCTTTACCTGTGAGCCAGGTGTGAAGCCTCTGACCAATCAGAATCAGTAATTATTAAACTAACTACCTGGGAGAACTGAAAACAAGGCCTGGATTTGGAATCAAGGCCCAGATTTGAAGAACCCTGCTCTAAAGTAACGTAATCCATTTCATATGGTCTGTTTGTACTTGTGATGACTCAGAAAAAGGGGGGGGGGGGGTAAACGTGCTAATAAACAACCTACCCCTCACATAACTCCACTTTTCACTAGACTTAGCAGTCTGCATAAAAAAAATCTAATTAGAAGGGATGAATAAAAGATTGAGAAGTTAATTATAAAACTGCAGATGAGATCACACTCCAACTGCACTGGCCCACATGTGCATTTCCTGCGCAAGCACATTTTCCTGAAAACACCGAGGAACGACATCTTGTACAATTAAACCAACAGCATAAAACAAGGCCATAAAAAGCCCAGGGCACTCCTCCTGTCACAATCTGGGAAGAGCCATCCCCCTGGATCAATAAAACCTGCATCTTCTCCAAAGCCTATCTACTGGAATCTACACTACGCAGCTGGATTCATTGTGCAGCTCTGCAGCCCCCAAGGGCAGCATGACCAAGAGCGCATCACACTGACGAACCTCTGCCATTCTCTGGTTTCCATGTAACTCAGCTCAATGGGCCCTAACCATTAATAGATTAAAATATTCCTTGCAGTGCCAGTCAAGTGCGCAATCACCTAAAAACAGATTACCAGCAAACAAATGCATTAAACATGGATCGTACACAAATAATTTAGGCTAATCCGGAATTCTACTTTTGAACGTTATTACCTTTTCTTTTTTTCATGCTTGAAGTGGCAGAAGAGAAATCCAACCAATCACAAGTGGCCTGGAGAGCCATTGGTAAAAAAAAATGGCAGGGGAGGGCTCTGCGGATCACAGTGCTGTTTCCGTGGGTGCCCCCCTCTCCCTCCTCCCAGGCCGCATGCTCCTGCTGACCTCCCAGGTTTCGAGGCCGGCAGGATCTAGCGGGGATTGGCTGTGTTAATCACACTAACTGAAATCAATAGCGGGCAGTCAATGCGGACCGTAGCGGAGGCGAGCAACCTCAGGATCGCCGTCATGATGCCGAACCGCATCCTCCACAGCAGGGGACTTCGCAGCAATTACTCAGCATGCAAAGGGGGTGGGGAAAACCAGGACTGAAATAGGCCCTCCACAAACAAATAAATGACCTCCAGGCCAATGTCCAGTTCAGCTGGGAAGCAGCTTATTGGAATAACAGATGGGCCAATCAGAGGCAGGGTTGTACAGCTGTACTCACCACAATTCATTATTTTAATAACACAAAAGTAGCACTAACTGGGGGAGGTAGAGGCAAATGCCTCATTAGTGCAGTATAAGGGGCATCAGTCACATCATCTGAAGGTCATGAAGTAGAGCCTCACAAGGAGCAGGTTCGCCTTCTTATGCTCCGTCCTGCATTCAGTCCGGCCTCTTATAATGACAATAAAGTCGATCTGAGCCAACGTGCTTTGGTACTGTCATGACAGAACTGGAACCAGGCTCCAGCAAGTCCCATCAGCTGATTCAACAGATTCATTCGAAAACCTTTTTGGAACAGCTCTAGGTATTTAGATTCCAATTACAGAAATAAGATCTATAGATAAGAATAAGAGTCCTTACCTTCCATGGGATATGACGTTAAGCCTTTCTTTCCCCCCGATAATGATGCCGTACTAGAACATGCTTCCCCGAAACATGGCTCTTGGGAACATTTTTCCCCATTACCCTCCCTCAGACAGAGGTGTAAGGTTACGAAAGCTTCCTCTTGGGATACGATGTTGCTAAAGGCTCTGAATGCTGAGCACCTTACAACCTAAAGCACCAATGTGCTTCTCAGCCCAGAGCCGGCTGCCGTTCTCCCCGCTTCACTGTCCAAGCACCACTATTCGGCAGCTGCTAAACCCTGGGCAAGGGCAGGATGATGTGCAGTTCATTTTAGGAGTCATACCGTTTTCTCATTAATAATTGGGGCTGTTTCCCTCAGAGTGGAGGCTGGGCACAGTGGGTGCAGCAGTAATTCCAAACAGCAAACAGATGGATGGAAAACAGTCCAGTTACAGCAGAACAGAATTTACTATCACTGAAAGTTTCATACCAAGAATAAGCTTTTTCCTTTAATTTTTCTTAAAAAAAATTCTTACAAAATGATTTATCCTAGAAGATCTGGATTGCATTTTCAGTAACGTGAGCTGGCACATTTCAGCTCTTCACTAAATTTAGCCAGAGTGGCATGAAATCTGCACTCACATCTGCAAATCTGAGAAGACGGGGAATGCGCTGACAAGAACTCAGCTGGTGGCAGAAGAGTTCCATTTCAAAACCTTTCCGCTCAAACTTCAAAGATCGTTTTAAACATTAACGAGATAAGCCATTCGGAATAAATTATTCCTAAACATAAAAACCTCAAAACTTGTCTCTAGTCCCAGCTCTGAAGCTAATCCTATTAGTGTCTGTACCGGAGTTACAGGCTGTGCCTCTAAGAACAGGTTGAGTTGGTCTTGGATCCGTCTACATCAAAAGACCTTTTCCCCTTTTGCTGTTCTTCCAGATAAGAGGCACAGTAGATGTGATGCCCCTTCAGACATCTTTTTGAAAACATGTCCCTTATCACCCGACTTTAACTCTCTTTACAACGACTCCTCCATTGATTACACACTTCACTGAGCTCCAGAACAAAAGATTATGGTACATGATGAACTCATTAAATTCATATTCTGAATCTTATAACTTTAATTGCTTCATGTTAAGTCTGCTAAATATGCATGCTCTTTTTGCACTGATTTTGTAACTTGCATGCATTTCTTTTTTATCTCAACTGAAATGAGGGAGGTTCTTTGCTATAAATAAAACAAAAAAATGAAAGCCTTGCTATTTTTCTGCAGCAACATCTAGTCCCTTATTTAAGCAAAATCAGTAAGTTTTCAGATTTTTCATATTCCATCTTTTAAATAGTGATTACCTGAATTTTCTGAAATTCAACAGAATTCTTAAATACGACTGCACCCTGCAGTACATACGACAACAAATAATATGGCCGCGTATTGCAAAGCGAGGGCTTACTCATACATACAGGCTTCTCAACCTGAAACTTTGCATAACAAAATGAAATGTCACAACCACCGTGTGTACAAAGGACAAAAATGTTACAAACTGCAAAACTGATACTGATAGTAGAATAAAAATCATAGCTGTTCATTTAATTGTTACTCAAATACAACAGCCCAACAGAAAAATCAAATAATCAGCTGTATTGATTATTGATGTAAACATTGAGCTACTTGTGTATATGAAGAAATATGAAGTATTCTCTGCCACTAACTGAATGAGAATAGAATAGAGGCACTTCATTCATTCATTCATTACAGTCTGGTTAGCTAAAACCATATTGCTTTATACCTGCAGCATCTGCACACATCTCAGAAGTATATATGCATTACATAGGGTCAGACCAACTCCAAGAACCTCCTCTTCACTGTAGCTCTCCAAGACATCACAACAAAACACTACTGCAGTCACACTGCCATGCCCTCAAGTCCTTTCCTTGCAAGAAAAGTTGTCCAGAACATCCATAAAAGCACAAGGGGTTTCATCACTCGTTTAAAAGGCCTGGGGAAAAGCTATTCATTACAGAGAGCTGACAGCACACTTTCCAAAGCCCAAAAACAATGTCACGTGTATTTATCAGAAATAATCAGAAAGCTGCTCCCAATTAGCAACTGTGGTGTTTATGTTTTTGGCGCCAACTACCCTGTCAAACTGCAACAAAACCCTCCTGCTTACCTGTAATGGGAGGGGGAGGCAAAGAATCAGGCCCATCATGCTCCATGTCCTCCTCCAGAGGGTCTAGGGTCTCGGAAGCAGTCTTGTCACCAGGCTGCTCGCTCTGGGCAGGGGCTGATGTCACCTTGGAGGGCCCCTGGCTTTTTTGAGACCTGACGAAATCTACCAGTCTGGGATCTGGGAGGCAGAGACATGCGTATAAAACAGAAGTGAAAAAGGGGCGTTCACTGGGTGCCCATGGGAATGAATTACTTTCCCTCCATTTCTCCTGGTGACAGTTACAGTGGCAGCATGCCGAGCATCTTCTGGGGGATCCCTAGAGCTTCCAAAACCAGCTGGGAAATATAATCCCTTCAGCATATCCCAGGTCTGCCCCAGGGCCTCCAGTAGCCCAGGTGGAAACCTATTAAGATGCCCAAAGCACCTCAGCTGACTCTCACAATCTGATTCATGGTGCCTCCAGATCTACGAATTCCTCACACTGACAGAGACAGTGAGTACAGCAACACAAAGGAATAAGATTTCTGGCCACAACCTTGTTTTTTGGAAAGTATCATCCCCTGAAGTTCTTACCTAGCTGAGTCAACAGCGTTTTCTGCATCTCTAGGACCTCACTCTGAGGCAGGCTTCGAAGCTTAGCCTGATTCTCCTCATGGATCTTCTGGGCTTCAGAAGAGCCGTCTTGCTGACTTAGACCCTGCCCGGAGACCAGCCTGGACATCTCCTTTCCACCATGTACTACAACCATAAATACAAAAAGGATACAGATTACACTCTATTATTCAGCCACAGTGAACAATTCCAGAAATGACTGCATTTCTGTTATACATCCAGTCCATTATGTTCTAGTTAGATACTCACCCTCAGATCCTAAATGGGGCGATTCAGTCATCATGGAAACCCCAGGTAGATTATCTGACCCCTGAGCACCAAGGCTTGGACAATGAGCCTCTGAGTTTCCATATGAAGTGAGGGACCTTTCTTTTGCTTTCTGAGCTGCAATCTTTTGAGCAAAAATGCTCTTTTTGCCACGTGTACCTGGACCCGGACCTTTTCCCTACAGCAAAAAAACATCCATGGTCATGATCATGAACGATAGATCACGAAAGCACAATGATCCCAGGTTTCCATAAGAAATACAATGTGTCCAAAATTATGAATGATAATCTGGCAAAATTACCATTAACTGTACTGGTCTCATTTCAATGGCAATTCTGGTCTCAAACAGCCAAAAAAATGTATGGCTCATGCCATTTTAATTCAACAAGTGGCTTTTGCATCCCGATTTTTGATTTTGATTAAAACTGGCATGTGAATTGCACATATTTCCCCACACACACACACGCACGCGTGCACACACACACCCACAAACAAATTTGCTACAACTCATAGAAACAATGCTTAATTTCTCCTGAAAAGTGATTAAATTAAAAGCAATTATCTAATGTATACCTGCATGTCTTTAGTATGTGATAGAGTAAACCAATAAAATTTAAAAGAAATTATTTGTTGTTTATTTTACAAAGATATGGTAAAATAGTATGAACAGATTTATTGGTTCCCCCATTTATCCTTGCATTATAGTCATGTTTCAAACTAAGTGTTTAATCTTAATTAGTATCACAGGTGCCTTCAAGCTTTTCATCAGTCATTCAGCCTATTTAAAGGGAAAGAACATGCTACTGTGTTTTTTGGTATCATTGTGTGCATCACACTGAACATGGACCAGAGAAAGCAAAGGAGAAAGCTGTCTAAGGAGCTCAGAAAGAAGATTATAGATAACCATGTTAAAGGTAAAGGCTATAAGACCACCTCCAAGCAGCTTCATGTTCCTGTGACCACAGTTGCCAATAATATTAAAAAGTATAAGGTTCATGGGACTGAAGCCAGCCTCCAAGGATGTGGACGCAAGAGGAAATGCAGCCCCAGGTTGATCAGAAGGACAGTGCAGAGGGTAGAAAAAGAGCCAAGGAGACCATCCAAAACCATTCAAGCTGAGCTCCAAGGTCAAGGTACGTCACTTTCTGATCGCACCATCCGTCGCATTTTGAACAATAATGGGCTCCTTGGAAGAAGATCCAGGTGGGCTCCACTATTGATAGAAAAAATTTAAAAAGCCAGAGCGGAATTCACCGAAATGCATGTTGACAAGCCCCAAGGTTTCGGGGAGAATATCTTTCCGAATGATGAGACAAAACTGGAGCTTTGTGGCCAGTCACATCAGCTCTATGTATACAGAAGGAAAAATTAAGCTTTAAAAGAAAACACCATACCTACTGTGAAACATGGAGGGGGCTTGGTTTTGTTTTGGGGAACCTTGAATCTGTGCAGAGCACAATGAAGTCTCAAAACTACCAAGGCATCCTGGAGCGAAACATACTGCCCCGTGTCAGATAGCTCAGCCTCAGTCACAGGTCATGGGTCCTCCAACAGCACAATGACCCAAAGCATACAACTAAAAGCACTCAAGACATATCCGCAAAACACTAGACTATTCTTATATGGCCCTCCATAAGCCCAGATTTTAACGCTATTGAACATCTATGTAAACATCTGAAAATTGCAGTGTGGAGATGCCACCCTTCAAACCTGAGACAGAATGAGCAGTTTGCTCAGTGGACCAAACTACCATACAGAGATCACTTGTTGGCAGTGGTTGCTGCAAAAGGTGGTGCCACAAAATATTAAATTAAGGTGACCATCTATTTTGTCCGGCATACCACTGGTCAGGTTTACATGCCTATATATGTGACTGTACATGTGATATGACCAAGATACACAGTGAATTCTCAAAATGCAGATTTCACCTTATCCTCCACCTCCGACCGATGAAAGACTCTGGGGAATGCCGCACTTGTGAAAGGTGGTATGGAGACCGGAACAGTGCTGGTGTCCCGTTCCTATGCATAAACACATGCTACATAAGGAACAGGGACAGTTTGGATGCACATACCTCTGCTCTAGCGGCAAAACCAACAGGCACTGTACATTTCAATATAATGCATGAGCAGTCTGTCCCAACAAACATAGCCCATTGAAAATTTAGCAGAAAGACACACTTTGGACAGGATTCCATGCAAAAATCCCTTATTAGAGAGAAGTGAAAAAACAAAAACGGTATTACTTTTTCCAACTACTTTTCAAAAACTATGCCAAGGTGCGCTGAAGCATTACCGGAGGCCTGGGCCACCCACCACCCTTATCATTATTTCTGCATTTCCAAATGTTTCAGTAATTACCCATTAGAATATGTTCAACTGGCAAATCATAAAGAAGCTAAAGATGACATTTTCAGCAATTGCACTTCCAGCTAGTAAGGTGTTCAACTAATATCAAAATTATCTCAATCGAATATAAGTATATCCTTATCATAATATTGCATTATATAAAGCCTCATGAGTACTTTGCAGAAGTTGAAGATGAACACCATATGCGGAATTTGATGTTTGCACTGGGGCGGGACACATCTTGCTTACCTTAAATGTTGACACATGTATGAGAATAGCATAACAACAAACTGCTTATGCAAGGAATGCTGGTCTTGCCAATTACTTACAATTTTGACTCAGGTGAATAACAGGACACTGCCACCTGCTGCCCTAAGCAACCCCCCAGGAGGAACAGGTAGTTGCACTTACTACGATCTTTGAAAGGACAGCGGTGACATGAGTGTCACACCTATCAAGCTCCGCTTCTGGATCCGCATCTACAAAACGCACCCGATTTGCCTTGAAGCGCGACTTCTTGGATGGTGTCGGGGTTAGAGAAGGAATCTCATCCGGCAGATCTATGGAAATAAATGATAAAATGCTTTAAAGGAAACTATTAATATGTGCCATTTTAAATATGGAATGATTTTTTAAAAGCTAGAGACTGATGCTGAAACTCCTCACAAACATTCTTGATTTCAGAAAGGCCAGATTTACAATGTCAGAACCTGCCCTGAGACTAGTCACTTCTATCACATAATGTACTACAACGTAATACCTGCTATTGTGACCACATCCCTGATTTCGTCCGTATCAGGGCTCTCTCCGTCTCCTATTCCCGGCTCCCCTCTCCGCTTATCGGCCCGACGTACCACCGTTACTGCCGGCGGAACCCCGGACGCTAGGAACTGCTCCTGGTCGCGCAGGAGATCCGCCTCCGAGTCCCCAGACTTGGGACGCCTCAACATGCCGCCTGTGAAACGTTTTATGAGCCGTTTTACGTTTAAAAACACAACGGAAGCACGTGCGTGCTACTAACAAGTACTATTATACTTAGTAATGTGCTTCATTTCCGCAAATCAGGAACGTAACATAATTCGTACAGTTTTGAGCATATAGCTTCGCCTACCTGGCTTCCAATTTAATATACTGAATCTTCTTCACTTGACAACTGCCTTGTGATATTACCAGAATATTTCGAAAAAAAATCGCCGAACTAGCTAGAAGTGGATAATACGTCTTTAACGTTTGAGCAGCTAAACATAACAAATACCTGACTCGGACGCAACTATCTTCTGTAAGTTGTTTATTCAAGTTCGCCTTTTAGCAACAAGCTCAGACAGACACACGCGATTATTTTGTTCCGCCACGCAGTAAAACTACTTCCGTGCAATTACGTCACATCCGCCCCGCAACTGTACGTTACGTTCGTTTGTGCGGCGTTCAGTGCCGATGGATCTTTGGTTGTAATTTTTTTTTATATTAAAATGTAACAAATGAAGTTAGTAAATGAGGTTTTGAAAGCAAAATAGTAATTTAATAACAGTAAGAAACTATAATATTCAACGGAGGTTAAATGTATAATTTGCTGTCTGATGATTTCCCAAATTTGGTCTTTCAGAGTCACCTTTCCTTTGAGTTTAAAGATATCTTGGGCTGAAGCAAATTAATACTACAATTTCATTTAATAAATTAACACTCCTCGTGTTGAATCAGATGACTGGTCTATTACTAATATTTAGTAAATATTGTTACTCAAAATATTTCAGTTCTTCTGTTAGTAGGTAGCTCATATGCGTTTTAATCACCAATTCAACATTTAAAGTTTATAATCAATTAAGGATAAACACTCCGCTTTCAGTTTATATATCTTTATATAGAAAGCATTTCTTTACACAGCATGAAGTTAGTGAATGGAATAGTCTTCCTTTTAGTATAGTGCAAGCTAAAACCTTGTGTTCCTTTAAATTAGCACTAGATAAGATTTTAACAGCTCTGAGCTATTAGTTGAATTCTTCTCAAACGAGCTTGATGTGCCGAATGGCCTCCTCTCATTTGTAAATTTCTTGTGTTCTTTAATGGGCTTGCCTTGTTTGTTCATGCAACGAAGCATATGTGGCTGGAACTGAATATATACAATAGGCAAAACAGTGAAGAGGTTCACATAGTGCTGGACTACAAATCAGAACAACTAAGATACCAGATACAAGGGATTTTTTTAATGTGCTGTGATTGCTGTTCATTCATATGCAATTAATGATGGTTCCAGTATCACAAACACAGTCACTTTACTGGGATATTCAAGCATTACAGTGTCATGAGTTGGTGCAATAAACAAAAAACATCCAGTCAGCGCCAGTTCTGGGGTGAAAAAATCTTGTGAATGAGCGAGGTCAGAGGGAAAAAGTCAGAATTAAAGCTATCAGGAAGGTTAGAAGTGTAAAGATGACAGCTCATTACAACAATGATGTGCAGAAAGGCTTATCTGAACATCTATATTTAGAGGCAGAAATTGGTCCGTTATTTATAACAGTAAAATGTGCCTTCCAATTACATCGTTTGAATATACACGTAATGCACTCAGAGATTTAAAAAGCAGAAAGATCAGAGGACAGAGCTGTGCGGTGCACAGAGGCAGAGATGACAGAGATACCGAGATATCCGCGTCTTGCTTTTGTTTAATTGAGTTTTCCACTTCAGAGTCAACGTCAAAAACGTCTGAACATTTTTATTCATATTTAGGGGCCGGTACGCTCAAGTTACAAGCTGAAGGGGGGCATTTGTTAACCCAGAGGGTACTGCATCTTGCAATTTTGTTCAAGGACAATTGGATTCCAAATCGTGGATTTGCACTTTCACAGCGGTGCACGTTATCAGGTGCTGAACATATAGGGTGACCATCCTAGATGCTTCTATGAGATACGCGCTGCGGCTGTGTTTTCCGGCAGTTTTCAAGTTTTCTGATTTTTCTCGAGAATATTTCGTTGGCGGTGTGCATCGTTTTTATGTCTTTTGGCTGTGTCCAGATGGCGTGTACATTTTTATTTGTTGTGGCCAGTGCAGCACACACAATTCGCGGGATTTCCTCTGTCCTTGAATGTGCCTGACAGGCTCTGCAGTCCCAGCGTCCCCGCCCCCTGTTTTCTGTGATGGAAGCACCCTAAACGGGATCCCCGTCCTCCTTGGCTGCGAACCAGCGGCAAATCGGGACGGGGAAAGCAGTGAAGCGGACCGAAATTAAAGTGGGGTGCGGAACAGTTTGGCTTTTGGTACCTCGCGTCTGCAATGTTAAGGCAGCAGGATGTTATCTCCCGAGTTGGAAACTGATACTGCTGCAGAAGACACGGCGCCCAACAGCCCAAATGGAGTCGAGGATACCCCGACCAGCTTGGAAGCCTTGGAAGAGGTGAGACGGTACCCGGAATGAAGTCGCCTGTTATATGCCTCTGACAAGATAACCGCTGGAGGAGATACGACCGCTATCTTTATATTAACACATAAAAACCTGTGGCTGCTGACCCGGCTAAAATATTAGATTAGGTGACACGAGACTGTAACATTTTACTTGACCTATCTTAACAAAATATGCTTGCAGCAGTACTTATACGCAATTTTGAAGGAAAAATATACATTAACAGAATATCTGTATGATTTGAGGGTGCGAACGGTGCAGTCGCACTGTTGAGGTCACTCACACCTGCACCTTGTCCGTATGACAATTTTATATCAGTCTGACCTGACTGTAATGAATATTCATTTTAGAGACACTGGCATTTCATATGGCCATGACACTGCAGATCAAGCTGAAATGGATATTTGACTAATACAACGTATCAAAAACTAAACTTGTGCTTGTTGTTTTATTTTCTTCTTTCCGTATGAGATCAGTTGAACTGCAGCAGTTTATAGCATTTCCCCGATGGTTTTTTTGAGTGGTTTGTTCTGTACTGCATGATTGGAAAGGGGAGGGGGTAATTTTACAGGAAGCCTTTAGTTGGCCATCTATATCCCATTCATGTAGCTAAGCTCAGCCTGTGAAGATTGCTGGCTCAGCAGATGAGTACTTTTGAAGTTCAGCCAAATTAAATACATTGACTTCATCTTCAAGTGTCCAGCCTTTGGGTGTCCAAGCCAAGCCAAGACTAAATTCTAAATCATAGAGCCAAGTCTCTTTTAGGCTCTGTCCAAAACAGCTCCAGGACAGGTACCAGAGAGGGACCTTTACTCTGACAAAAGCTTGCTGTTTATGTGTTGCTGGTAAAAATACATTGAATAGGACTGCCGCCTTTTAACTGTCAGCAAGTCGTGAGTCCTACTGCAGCCTTGCTCCTCTTTGGCTCTTGGTTTGATTCCTGTAGGATTTGCATGTTTTATCCACATTCATTTGGGGTTCCTCCAGGTAGTCTGGTCCAAAGACATACTTTAGAAGGACATGTGTCTTTAAATTGGCTGTGGGTGTGTTTGAATGTGCTCTTTGATGGACTGGCATCTTGTCCAGGGTGTACTTTGCCTTGTTAACAGTGTCATCCTGGGAAGGAACTTCAGCTATGTTGTGACCCGTCAGTGAATAAGTGGTTCTTTACAATGGATAGTACAAGGTGCTAAACCTGTCGTCCTACTTATTATAAGCAGGTCAAATAAATATTATAAAAATAATATTTATATGCTTCATATTAGAATTTTTTTATAACATTTTAAAAGTTTAACTGTATTACTTTTAATATCCACATTTTCACAATTATAACATAATTACAAATTAATTATACAATGTTACAATGTTATTGTACACAGAATCTCAACATTATTTTCTGCACAATATGCCAAATTCTTGAGATGCATTACTTTCACTTGGTCTGAGTGGTTTTCTAATATTCAGATTTTTATTGAAAAATGATTAAGCCGTAACTGAGTGCCAGTTAACTGTCAGACACATTTACACAAGTTTGACAACCAGTAGGTTTCACAAATAAATCCCTGAGAGAATCAATTGAAATGTTGTGGTTTACTATCAACACCCTAACCTGCTAGTGATTTCATAAAGGGGAAAAACCAGACATATAAGTAAATCTTGTTTTATGTGCTGTGCTGTAGACTGATTCTGAGAAAGTAAAATTTTCATAGCATGGCAAAGTAATCGTATGCTTTCTAGGTTTTAGGGAAAAATTCCTGAGACATCCATCAGTCTGCCTGTTATCTGACTGTGTACTAAAACTTCATCCTAGTGTCTGTGTTTTTTTTTTTGTGTGTGTGTGTGTGTGCGTGTGTGTGTGTGTGTGTGTGTGTGTGTCAGAGCATGTGAGCGGAATGGAACGGTGAGAATTCCCGCTCTTCGCTCACAAGGCTATTGGCTCCGCCGCTCCTCCGCTCTAATTCGCACTACGCCGCTCCGCTCAACACCGCTCCTCGCTCCACTAAAATTTCCTCCCGCTCCAGTCAAATCGCTCCAATTTAAAAGAGGGACAAATAATCTGCATGCCTAACAAATGTCACCTTAAACCGAAGCCTTATATCATAAAGAAATATGAGCAACGGCAACATTGCCACTCAGAACAGAAAATATCTATTTTTAAGCAACATATAAGCAATAACGGACAGGTTTGGCAATGGCATTCCAAACAAAAATAGACTTAAAAATAAAGGAATCAGTGGGCTTAATAGCCTAAAGACTATACAAGCTAAGCATCCACGTTTTAAATTTTCTGTCGATGCTGCTGCTGCGTCTCTATAAAATAAAATTTCACGTAGGCCTACAGCGTTACGTGAAATTTAAAAAATCCTATTAGACCTATTTTAAATGACAAAACGAATTTATTTGATTACCAATATTTACTTTATAGGCTTTTATACTTTAATTTACTTTATAGACTTGATATGCTACAACCACATACACATTACTCACGATTTGCTCTGGCTTCTGCCTGTTCGCGTAGCACACTCTCATGTTTCTGAGAAAAATGATTCCAAAGTGAATCTTTACTCACTGAAACAGTTTCACCACATTGTTGTTCTTGCCCTACATTCTTGTCATCTATACGTTTGATAAGAATATTACACTTGCATGATTTATCAGTTTCCTTTGTGAAATACTTTGCGAATTCCATCTCGGCCAATTTGTGTAACAGTCTTGATAATTGTACAGATGAATTCTGGGTAGATTTGGACACGCCTCAGAATCGTAGTGTGAGCGGTATCGGAGCGAAATTGGAGCGAGACAGAGCGACCGCTCCAGCCTTAATTAAAAAACCTCTCCGCGCTCTGACTAAATTCCGCCCGCTCCGCTCCTCGCTCACGCTCCGCTCCTCGCTCACATGCTCTGGTGTGTGTGCGCCCACATCTCTGGGTCTTGCCATGAGGGGTCACTTAGTGCTCGAATCCTTCCAGCGAGTGGCCAGCTTGTGCTGCATTTGGGATTCAGCAGGTCCTGGCAAGAAGAGGGCAGCTGTCTTAGTTATTCTATTACTGTTTTTCAGCATTCTCTTAACAGGACAGGAGACCGCATATCTAATAGTAAAGCTCTCTAAAGGTCCATGGAGATGGAGGCTTCAAGGCTTGAGGGGCTTTGCACCTGCTGACGGTTTGCTTTGACCGGCCCTCACCATGGTTCTACCTGTCTGGAAGATGCCCTTAGCTCTCTACTGCTCTCTGCTGCATTGCGTTTGGTTACAACCAGAATACTCACTGGTGCCTGAAATATAACATCGATCCTTAGGATAACCCCCAGAATCACAACCATTGTATACATAAAGGTGATATATACAATAAAAACTTATATGTCTTACATACATTCTCATCGAACTACACATTTCTAGTTGTCTGCCACTAGCTAATTGTAATAAATGATTAGGCACCACTACCACAAATTACCAGAAAGCCAGTTGTACCAATCAGGGGCAGAAGCAAGGGATTCTGGGGCCCCTGACAAAATGTCAACTTGGGGCCCCTTGTGGACCAGGGAGGTGATCCTCCTTGATAAATTTTACTGCCTGGGGTTCCCTCCATTCCAAGACCCCAGAAAACATATCTGTTTTACTTTCCCCCCTGGCAATGGCCCTGGTAACAACCCTATAATGAATGCTTAACTCTTTACATGAGTTGTTTTTTTTTTCATGTTCCAAGGCTATTTTTGTGCTTCGCTGGTTTGGGTAGTGTCCTCCAAGCTGTAATAGTGTTCTGTCTTACTATCATGCTTACTGCGCTTCTGTCTGGTGCCGGGTGCAGATTTACTGCCACTCCGCGTGCAGAAACCGTAGCTTTGCTGAAATCCCCAAAGGAATTCTCTGCCTCATGTACTTTTTTTTTCTACCGATGTTGCTGAAATAAGCCCGTTCAGGATCATATTGACTCACGGCCGGCCATTTGCAGGACCTCAGCTCGTTATCCATCGACAGTGTCGGCAGCTTCTCCGCAGTCACCTATGACCTCAACACGCCACTGGCTAATCTATACGATTAGCTGAATACAGCTGGCCTCTGCTTCATCCGTGTCTTTTGATCAATTCGCTGTGGCTCTGAAGTGGAGAGCCCCCCTGCCATTGTTGTCCTGCTGGGTACCTTCTGACGTTTCTAGGCAGCACTTAGCAGACCTGTCGCCAAGCCGGCGATGCAGATCACTGAGCCCAGAACTCAGTTATCGGAGATATTAACCGTGAAACAAATAATAAGCAGTACTGAGCACTTTTCCTTTTTGAAAGAGATAATCCACTTTGCAGTCTAAGAGCTGTTTATCATCAGGAGGCAAATTTGCTGTGCTCAATGGTCAAGAAAGTGACCAAATAATGCTCATTTTAAACAAGAACATTAACGTACAGCCTAATCATTCAACCTACAATATTTGTTATATGCTACATCTGTTATATGAGCTGTATTTGTATAATTATCAAGATTAGTCAATGGAGGGTTTTATAAGCAGAGATGAAGATAACTGGTATGTAAGTACGCATTTGCCGTATATAAAGCAATACGTGTGGCAATTTCTTGCCATATCAGCACAGATGTGTACTGATTTTATGTGCATTTATCCTGCTATGACAAGAAATTACCATGCACCTTAACCTTTGTACCACGAATGAAGTACAAATTAGCTGTATAAAGGGTAAAATGCATGGTATCATGTCATGGCAGCGCATATGCATATAAAATAAGTATGCATTTGTTCTGTTACAACAATAAATTGCCATACATATTGGTTTATATGGAGAGTGTGTACTTGCGTACCAGTTATGTGCATCCCTGGTTGTATGTATGATGTATGAAATTCAGAATGTGTTATATTTTTGTTAATAGAGGTTCTGTAGTTGTTAGTGCTGTTTGTTTGGTGATGTTTAGGGTGATGTTTCTGCCATTGTGACTTGTTATCTGCCCCACCTTAACCCCCACTTTCCAGGTCGTTATTTCTCAGGGTGCCCCC